TCAGTCTAAAAAAAAAGTGTAGGGGAAATACAGGTGAGCTAGGCCTCTGGAGAACCCTCTTTAAACATAGACCAGGGATGTGAACAGCCTGGCTCTCATGCAGAGTGTATTGGAAAGTGGATTAATTCAGATGCCGTTAGGTTAAAACTAACCTTATTGTTTGATCAACTTTTGGACCCATTTTAAAGTTGTTTTAGTTTTTAATATCTTCTTTCTTTCCGAATGAGTTTTTTCCAGTTTTACTTTGTCATTGTTTGTGGGGGTATTTTTGGTATATTTTTCTGTATGTGAAATCCAGGATAGGTAAATTTATAGAGACAATAACTGGATTAATGTTTTCTTATTGGTGAACTAGGGAGTTAACAACAATGAATACAAGAAAGAATAAAATGCTTTAAAATTGATTTTGGTGGTGATGGAACTATTTAATTATGTGATATGTGAATTATGTGCCAATAAAACTGTTAGTAGTGGATAGTGTGGCAAAGGTTCTTAGGTGAAAATATACATTTTTAGAAACTTTATATATTTTATAAATCATGTTGCTGGGGGCTCCTACAGCTCCTATAATAACTGAAAGAGTAGAAAATATTAGTGTGTTGTTGTAAAGTGAACAAAGGGGACAGTAGTGGAAGATGAGACTCAAGAGCTAGATCGTGGAGGATCTTGTCGAAAAATCAGGAGTTTAGTTTTTAATATAAGTTGGAGATTCTTATAATCATCCCAGGGCAGATTTCAAGTAGACAGTTGTATACATGGAGTTCAGAGAAAGGGCCTCGGCAGGAGATGTAATAGGGAGATGTATTTAAAGCCAGGAGACTGGCTAGTTTCAGACTGTTGTGTTGTGGTGAAATGGTTTAATATCTTAATCTTGATTCGGTTGCTCATTATATTAATCATTTTTCTCATGGTAGGAATAAACCCAACCAAACTCACTGTCATCCAAATGATTCTGACTCACAGTGACCTTATTGCGCAGAATAGAATTGCTCCTCAGGGTTTCTGAGACTGAATCTTTATGGGAGCAGGCAGCCTCATCTTTCTCCCCTGGGACAGCTGGAGGGTTTGAACCACCTGCGTTGTAGTTAGCAACTGATTGCTTAATCCACCAGGCCACCAGGACTCATCCACAACAGGTATAAAGAATGTTAAAAAGGAAAAACAAAATAAAACAAAGAACAAAAACTCAGTTACTTATATATTTGATATGTATATATTTAATTGATGTGCTCATGTCAACTATGTAGATATCTATATATTTGATATAAAACAATATATATATTTATTATAGTTCTGAAATTTTGATATGTACAGAGATTTCAAATATTTTGTGTTAATATTAATTCTTACTTCAGCTATAGTGGAACACGGCCCTTCTTCTTATTTGAGCCTAGCTCTTTCTCTTATAGTCTGTATCCCACCTTCTCGTGCTTTATTAAACCTTGATCCATGATTTAGTCTCTCTCCTTCATATATTTGCACCTTCTCTATTAATTGATGATTTACCATATAAGCTAGCTGTAATTCTCATATCTTAAAAATTTATGTTTTGTCTTGACTCTCCAGCTGCGGACCCATGCCACCGCTACACCCAGTCCAAGTCTCTTGATAGGCCAGCCCACATTCCCTTCTGTTAAGCTGCAGCCTGTTCACATGTACTGAAACTATTCTCCCAAAGTCCTCTTAGTCTCCAAAGAAGTAGTCACTTTCTGGTCTTCGTCTTATTTAACGTGCCTGCACATTGAATCATGATGGCTCCCCCTCTTTCCAGAATTCTTTTCTGGGTCACTTATTTTTGCTCCCGCTCCGCGAACTCATAATACCACCCTCTTCTCTGTATTCTGTACTTAAGACTAACCTGTAAGTGGATTTTCTGGGTCCTGTTTTAACTACTTATCCTTCTATAAAGGTCCCCAGAGTTATCTCATTCCCTCCAATGATTTCAGCTCTAGACCCACGCATCCAAAAGATGCAGCATTTCACAGGCTCCTTGAGTCCTGAACTAAACTCACCATCTCTCTCTGCTTCCTTCTCAAAATTTCCACCCCCATGTTATCCATTTCAACAAATAGCACATGACCCATGCAATGACCCAGATATGGAAGTCATCCCACGAGGCCTCATTCTTTCCTACCACTCTTTCATCACTTATCATGACCCACAGATACCACCGACTTAAGGATTTGGTTTAACATGCGCCTCTCCTGTCAACAATTACTGCTCGGTTCTGACTCTCATCCTTTCCTGACTGAACAAGCTTCAGCAGCTTCCATTATCACGCTCCAATTTAGTCTCCACATTAGAGAGTTTCTGAGAGTTAGAGTCAGAGTTGTCATTCCTACATAAAAATCGGATGTCATAGCTCTTTAATGGATCCTTCTCACCCCCACTGAACCCTCTTTATAGAATCCACTCTCTGTAGCCTGTGTTTCGTAGCATGAAAGTCTGCCCTTGTCTACCTATGCAGTCTTACCTTACATCCCTTGGCTTATTCCATGCTTCATGGCATCATTCAGCAAGCTTCCTCTGCATCTTCCCCAGTAGCTAACATCTGTTCATAGATCACCTTGCCTTTTGAGTTAGGTCCACATCTAATAAATCGAGTGAAATTCATATTTTATCTAGATCCTAGAATTCATCTCCTAATGGTGAGTGAGAGACCTAGGTTTGAATCTGGAGCTTGCATTTACAGATGGTGCGATCTTGGTAGGTAAAGTCCCTGAATCTATCTAAACTTGAGTTTTCTGAGATCATGATAGCAACTATATCGCAGAATTGCTGTGATAATATTTCCTCCCCTCTTTGATCCTTTCCTCCCTTTCTCGTTCATAGTAGAGATGGCATTCAATTTTCTTCTGGCTTCTATAGTTTCTGTTGGAAGATCTGCTGTCTGTCTTATCATTGCTCATTGGAAAGTAATCTATCCTTTCCCTCTGATGCTTTTAAGACTGTATGCTGGGGTTTTCTTGGGATATTGAACATCTTTATTCTGTGGGTTGATATCTTTCCTTCATTTAGGAAAGTTGTTGGTCATTGTCTCATAATTATTGCTCTTGTTGACTTCTTTTCCATTTGTATACCCAATTTTACATATATTCCATGACTCGCCCCATTTGTCTTCTGTAGTTTTTTTCCCTATTACTTTTTAAAGGTAAGTTTTATTTTGAGATTTAGTTTGAATGCTTTTTTTTGGTGGGGGGAGGGTTTATTTTATTTATTTATTTTATTTTTGAATCATTTTATTGGGAGTTCATACAGCTCTTTTTAAAAATTATTTTATTGGGGGCTCTTACAGCTCTTATCACATCCACACGTCCATCCATTGTGTCAAGCACATTTGTACAAATGTTGCCATCATCATTTTCAAAACATTTTCTTTCTACTTGAGCTCTTGGTATTTGCTCATTTTCCCTCACCCCCACCCTCCCTCCCTTATGAATCCTTGATAATTTATCTTTTTTTTTTTCCGTGTCTTACACTGACCAATGTCTCCCTTCACCCACTTTTCTGTTGTCTGTCTCTCTGGGAGGGGGTTATATGTAGATCATTGTAATTGGTTCCCCCTTTCTTCCCCCACCTTCCCTTTACCTCCTGCTATTGCCACTCTCATTATTGGTCCTGAGGGATTTATCTGTCCTGGACTCCCAAGTTTGAATGCTTTTTCGAGACTTGTGATGTCATCTTACTTTGAAAAGTTAAGCTTTAAAAATATATATATATTGAATTATTGAATTATATGATATGTAACTTATGTGCCAATAAAGCTGCAGGGGAAAAAAGAATAGTAGGACTGAAAATTTCAGCCTTCATTAAATTTACATACAAAAATACAATCATAAAAAAAGAAACCTCTCTAATTTGGTTCATTGACTCTGTAATTTCATAGTTGACCTTATTGCTAAAATGATGATAAGATCAAGTTTTGTACAGCATGGCTAACAACTGCCACTACTTACTGAATCATGCAAGCTTTGGAAAATCCCTGCCCTTGTTTTCTGAAACTTTTTATCTTGGAAAGTCTTTCGCTTGCGGCTTCCTTGATAAGAGAGAATGCGTCTCTTAAAATTCTTTCTCATCTTCTAAGCATCCAGAGGTACATTTTCACCTTCCATCTTTTAAGACACCCAACTGGTGGCTTTCTTGGAAAATGTTAATGATAATAGTGGTCGTAATTGAATGGTTCGCTATGCCAAACCGCTATTATTTTTGTTGTTTTTCTTGTATTGATTTATTTAATTCTCACAGCATTTAAGTGGTAGTTTGTTATTATTTCCTTCATTTTGCAGGTGAGGCACAGAGAGATTAAATTATTTTCCCAAGGTAAAATCTGATAAGTAGCAGCTATTAAATAAAAACTTAGAATCTGAAATTGAAATTCACCCCTTAGCCACAGGACCCACTTTTGGTCCATAGAAACACATGGCTTTAGTTTTTCACAGAGTACAATTTATTTTCAAATGGTAGTTTGCTTTTCTGGTAGTACAGATTTTAATCCAGACACCAAATAACTATTATCTCTTATGTCCCAGAGTACCCATCATGCCTTTGAAGTAATCCTACTATAGCCTAATTTGGGAGGAGCTTCAAAGAGATGAAGACATCCTCATCCTTCCCCCGTGGTCTGCATGTTTCACAGACAACGCCACACTCTCAAGTTACCAGTTCTTTTCTTGATCTTTTTGAACCCTTTTATGACATACATGAAGTAGTAAGTGCAATGCACAGATTTAAACCATTCTTCTGTAGGTCCTACGTTTTGGAATGTGGAATTTATTATTTAGAGTTTCAGAATAAACTGAGTTTAAAACAACACAATATTAATATGCCATTTCATACAAAATAGAAGTTCTTTATGAGTGTCGACTTTGTGGATGCCTTAATATGCACTCCTCTGCTGTTTGTATCTGACACTCCTAAATACACAAACAACAGTTTTGTTAGAATCAAAGCAGTCACCTTCATATGTGATGTCTCTGTTATGTCTCTCCAGAAGAAGAAGGATGCAGGACTTCCTCTGGAGCAACCACAGCTTTCTGAATGAGTTTATTCTTCTAGGATTCTCCAGCGACACACAAGTAAACATTATCCTCTTTAGTGCATTCTTCTTCCTCTACCTCATCACCCTTTTAGGCAATGGACTCATTATCACTTTGATACGTATGGACTCTCGCCTCCACACACCCATGTATTTTTTCCTCACTGTCCTTTCCATCCTGGACATGGGATATGTCACCACCACAGTGCCTCAGATGCTGGTGCATATGGTTTCCCAGAAAAAGACCATCTCCTACATTGGATGTGTAGCCCAGATGTACATCTTCCTGATGCTGGGCATCACTGAGTCTTGGCTGTTTGCAATCATGGCTTATGATAGGTATGTAGCCATTTGCCATCCTCTCAGATATAAGGTCATTATGAATCCTTTGCTATGTGGGTCAATGGTGGCCTTCTGCGGATTCTGGGGTATCACTTGTGCCTTCATATACACAGTCACCGCTATGATTCTTCCCTATTGTGGTCCCAACGAGATAAACCACTTCTTCTGTGAAGTACCAGCTGTCTTAAAGCTGGCTTGTGCAGACACTTCTCTCAATGACCAAGTAGACTTCATCCTGGGCTTCATCCTTCTGTTGGTCCCACTCTCCCTCATCATCATTGTCTACATCAACATCTTTGCCGCCATCATGAGGATCCGCTCAACCCAGGGGAGGATCAAGGCCTTCTCCACCTGTGCCTCCCACATCACTGTGGTCACCATGTTCTCCATACCATGCATGGTCATGTACATGAGACCTGGCTCCGAGGCCTCTCCAGAGGATGACAAGAAGCTGGCTCTGTTCTACAACGTCATCTCTGCCTTTCTCAACCCCATCATCTACAGCCTCCGGAACAAGGATGTGAAGAGGGCCTTCCTCAAAGTGACAGGGTGGGGAAAAGTGACAGAATGAAGTCATGGCAGCATGGGGAGCCGCAACCAAACCTAGTGCATCTACATGGCCTCTCCTTCCAAATTCCTTCTAGCACCTGATGGCACTCATGAAAGCTAAATGGATGCATTGAAGAAGATTATGAATGAGAGCATGTGGAAGGTTATGGCAGCGAGTGCATCTCTCAAACAGGAAGGACCAGGCTGTGACTGCAGAGAGGGGGAGCCCATATCTGATTTGTCTCTATCACCAGTTTGTAAGACCTAGAAAAGTCTTGGCAACGATATTCATCCATTTAACTAATAAATCAACCCGTGATTTCGTTTCCACAAGCTTTGGTCTTATGCAGGAAGTTCAAATTGGTGGTCTCCACGTATTTCCCAGATTTCTTATCAGTGACTGCACCAGAGCTCAATCAGGGCTCTGACTAGGTCAAGAGAAAGAACAGTTTAAGATAATTCAAGGATGATCATAAAAAATAGAATGCAGAGAAGTAGCGCATGCTAATTTTCATCTAGCTATTATTAGAATATGGATCTGGGCCTTCATATCACGGAAGAGAGAGACACTCTTTTTTGGAAAAGTGATGTTTATAGGACTGAGTAGAATCTTTTAGTACTTAAACAAAAATCTCCCACTCAAGCAGGCAGCTTACCCTTGGGGAAAATGTTTGACATTGTTTTTATGGTCCCCCGTGAAGGAGAGCTGTTGGTGCCCTGTCATGTTTACACTGTCTTTGGATCCCCAGGACTCTGCACCCACCGGTCTGTGATCTTTCTGCATCCCGCTTCACCTTCTTGTGTCATTGGCCTGCACCTCCGAGAGTCCAAAGAGGGCTCCGGTTGGCATCAGACACATGGACTTCAGCTGGACTGGGCTGGGATGGTTTCCTGATGTAAGACTACTTCTTGATACTAAGCTATTTCTTATACATAGATGAGGGCCACTGGCCTTGCTTCTCTAGACAACCCAGCCTAACATACATGCTGTAGTTCTACAGCCATAGTTCTGCATAGTGGATGAGTGCTTTTGAACAATAACCCTCATTGTTTCCTTAAGCAGGATTCAGTCAAGTTTTTAAGATGTATAATGGGACATTCAATGTAACTAATTTTAAAAACTTTCCTATATACCAATATTCCCCCATCTCAACAATATTCTAAATTCCATAAAAGGGGGTAGTTTAACAATACTATTACTAGAATTACTAGTCTCCATGGAGGTCACTAATAGTATTCCTCAAAAAATTGATACCATTGCCACTAAAGTAGAACAGCGATAGACATACAGCTTAGTTATAAGAATGGATTTTGAAGCCTCACTCAGCTATAAGCCTAACCTAAGAACAATCAGTTCTTATGATGTGACCTCACTCAATAGTACCTTCATGAAAGGATCACTGAAGATCAGGATGCTGTAGCAAAGTGTGGTGAAGCTATCAGATGGTGGCTAGGTATTATAAAGAACAGCATCTCGGGTATTAAATGCTTGTCTTAAAACAAGCAGTCGTCTAAGTGAGGGGACAGCTAAGCAAACATGGAAAAATTACAAAGAATGTAAACAAAATCCAAGATCAGAAGAGGGAAATATATTAGAGCTTAAATTCTGAGCACCCAGTTTCCAACGGTTATGAATGACAGTGAAGACCCCAAATACAGTTTCAGAGACCTCATGGGAAATAAGCCACCATTGAGCCCTGCCCACTGATAGACCACACCAGAAAGTGAATGATTGTAGTTATAGTTAGGTTAAAATTTAACACCTTATCATTTGTTTTCTCTTTTAACTCATTCTTACTTTGTTCTATTTTTTTCTGATTTCTTTTGGAATGAAGAACATTCAAGCACTGTCACTGCACAGGTTAGATAGAAATTGATAAATGAAACCTAATCAGCTGTAAACCTCCACTAAAAACACATTTTTACTGAAAATCAAAAATCGAGGGAGACCTCTCATAACCCCTATATACATGGAATTGAAATCCTCTGATAGTTTTGCCAACTAAAGCTTTGGCTTAAAAAAAATCTCTGAAACAGAGACTTTTTGCCGTTGTTGTTGTTTTTAATAAATCATTTTATGGAAGCTCATACAGCTCTTTTAAAAAATATTTTTCAAGGGAACAACAAGTGATCTAAAATTGATGGCAAGGAGGGAGTAGGATACCTGGTGGGACTTGATCAAGGGCAATGTAGTTGAGTGGAATTACTGAAACCCGAATGGAGGTAGAACATGATAGTGGGATAAGAGGAAAGTAAAAGAAAATAGAGGAAAGAACTAGAAGGTAAAGAACATTTATAGAGGTCTAAATACAGGTATGTGCATATGTAAATATATTTATATATAACGATAGGGAAATAGATCTATGCACATATACTTATATATTAAGTATTAAGGCAGCAGACAGACATTGGGCCTCTACTCAAGTATTCCCTCAATGCAAGAAAACTTTGTTCTAATAATCTGGCATTCTGTGATACTCACCTTCCCAACACGATCGCTGAAAACAAAATGGATGCATAAGCAAATGTGGTGAAGAAAGCTGATGTTGCCTGGCTATCAAAAGCTACAGCATCTGGGGTCTTAAAGGCTTGAAGATAAACAAGTGCTCATCTAGCTGAGAAGCAACAAAGCCCACACGGAAGAAGTATACCAACCTGTGTGATCATGAAGTGTCAATGGGATCAAGTATCAGGCGTCAAAGACCCAGAAAAAAAAATCACATCGATGTGAATGAAGGGGAGGGTGGTGTGGAGACCCAAAGCCTATCCATCTGAAGACAATTGGTGGTGCAGTATAGCACCGATGAAACATACAACTTTCCTCTAGTTCTTTAATGCTTCCTCCCCCCACAATCATGACCCTAATTCTACCTTACAAATCTGGCTAGACCCCAGAGCATGTACACTGCTACAGATAAGTGCTCACAACACAGGGAATCCAGGCCAGATAAACCCCTCAGGGCCAATAATGAGAGTAGCGATACCAGGAGGGTAAAGGTAAAAGTGGGGGAAGAAAAGGGGAACTGATCACAACGATCTACATATAACCCCCTCCCAGGGGGACAAACAACAGAAAAGTGGGTAAAGGGAAACAACGGTCAGTGCAAGACATGAAAAAAAATTATAAATTATCTAGAGTTCATGAGGGAGGGTAGGGGAGGGTGAAAATGAGCTGATACCAAAATCTCAAGTAGAAAGAAAATGTTTTGAAAATGGTGATGACAACATATGTACAAATGTGCTTGATACAATTGATGTATGCATTGTGATAAGAGCTGTAAGAGCCCTCACTAAAATGATTTTTAAAAACTATTTTAATAAATAATTTTATTGGGGGCTTTTACTGCTCTTATCACAATCCATACATCAATTTTATCAAGCACATTTGTACATATGTTGCCATCATCATTTCCTTTCTACTTGAGCCCTTGGTATCAGCTCGTCTTTTTCTCCCTCCACCCCCCACCCTCTCACCCTTGTGAACTTTCAATAAACATGATACATTATTGTTATTTTTTATCTTACACCATTCACTGTCTCATTTCACCATTTCTGTTGTTCATCCCCCTCAAAGGGGGTTATATATTGATCATCGCAATCAGTTCCCTCTTTCTACCCCCACCTTTCCCCTACCCTTAAGGTGTCCCTACTCCCATTACTGTTCCTGAGGGGCTTATCTGTACTGGATTCCTTGTGTTGAGAACTCTTATCTGTACCAGTGTATATGCTCTGGTCTAGCCAGATTTATAAGGTAGAATTGGGGTCTTGATAGTGGGGGTGGGGGGGGGGAAAGAGGAAGCATTAAGGAACTCGTGGAATGTTGTATATTTCATCAGTGCTATACTGTACCCTGGCTGGCTTGTCTCTTCCTTGTGACCCTTCTGTGAGGGATATCCAATTTTATACAGATGGGATTTGGGTGTCCATTCCAACCCTCTTGTTTGCATTGATATAATTGTTTGTTTTGGGTCTTCTGATGCCTGATAGCTGAACCCATCAACACCTCATGCTCACACAGGCTAGTGTGCTTCTTCCATGTGAACTTTGTTGCTTCTCAGCTAGATGTCCGCTTGTTTAACTTCAAGCCTTTAAGACCCAGATGCTATATCTTTTGATAGCTGGGCACCATCAGCTTTCACCACATTTACTTATACACCCATTTTGACTTCAGTCATCACTTCGTAAAGGTGAGCATCACAGAATGCCAGATTATTAGAATAAGTTTTCTTGCATTAGGGGAGGTCTTGAGTAGAGGCCCAATGTCCATCTGCTACCTTGATACTTAATACATAAATATATGTACATAGACCTATATCCCTATTATATATTAATATATTTACATATATACATGCCTATATTTATACCTTTATAA